TAATCAGAGAGGCAACAAAGAGACCAAAGATAGAGATTGGAGTATCTGTCCGTAGGACCACTTTAAGTCGTACACTCCACAGAGCTGGGCTTTATGGAAGAGTGGCCAGAAAAACCCCATTGTTTAAAGAAAAAAATAAGCAAACACGTTTGGTATTAGCCAAAAGCCATGTGGGAGACTCCCCAAACATATGGAAGAAGGTACTCTGGTCAGATGAGACTAAAATTGAGCTTTTTGGCCATCAAGGAAAACGCTACAGTTGAAGTCGGAAGTTTACATACACTTCGGTTAGAGTCATTAAAACAAATTTTTAAACCAGTCCACACATTTCTTGTTAACAAACTATCGTTTTGGCGAGTCGGTTAGGACATCTACTTTGTGCAAGACACAAGTAATGTTTCCAATAATTGTTTACAGACACTAAGTTGACTGTGCCTTTAAACAGCTTGGAAAATTCCAGGAAATGATGTCATGGCTTTAGAAGCTTCTGATAGGCTAATTGACATCATTTGAGTCAATTGGAGGTGTACCTGTGGATGTATTTCAAGGCCTACCTTCAAACTCAGTGCCTCTTTGCTTGACATCATAGGAAAATCAAAAGAAATCAGCCAAGAAAAATTGTAGACCTCCACAGTTTGGTTCATCCTTGGGAACAGTTTCCAAATGCCTGAAGGTACCACGTTCGTCTGTACAAACAATAATATGCAACTATAAACACCATGGGACCACGCAGCCGTTATACCACTCAGGAGGAGACGCGTTCTGTCTCCTAGAGATTAACATACTTTGGTGCGAAAAGTGCAAATCAATCCCAGAACAACAGCAAAGGACCTTGTGAAGATGCTGGAGGAAACAGGTACAAAAGTATCTATATCCACAGTAAAACGAGTCCTATATCGACATAACCTGAAAGGCCGCTCAGCTAGAAAGAAGCCACTGCTCCAAAACCGCCATAAAAAAGCCAGACTACGGTTTGCAACTGCACATGGGGACAATGATCGTAGTTTTTGGAGAAATGTCCTCTGGTCTAATGAAACAAAAATAGAACTGTTTGGCCATAATGACCATTGTTATGTTTGGAGGAAAAAGGGGGTGCTTGCAAGCCGAAGAACACCATCCCAACTGTGAAGCACAGGGATGGCAGCATCATGCTGTGGGGGTGCTTTGCTGCAGGAGGGACTGGTGCACTTCACAAAATAGATGGCATCATGAGGAAGGAAAATTATGTGGATATATTGAAGCAACATCTCAAGACATCAGTCAAAAATTCACCCAACTTTATGTGGGAAGCTTGTGGAAGGCTACCCAAAACGTTTGACCCAAGTTAAACAATTTAAAGGCAATGCTACCAAATAATAATTGAGTGTATGTAAACTTCTGACCCACTGGGAATGTGATGAAAGAAATAAAAGCTGAAATAAAAATTCTCTCTACTATTATTCTGATATTTCACATTCTTAAAATAATGTGGTGTTCCTAACTGATCTAAGACAGGGAATTTTTACTAGGATTAAATGTCAGGAATTGTGAAAAACTGAGTGTAAATGTATTTGGCTAAGGTGTATGTAAACTTCCGACTTCAACTGTATATCTGGCGCAAACCCAACACCTCTCATCACCCCGAGAACACCATCCCCACAGTGAAGCATGGTGGTGGCAGCATCATGCTGTGGGGATGTTTTTCCATCGGCAGGGACTGGGAAACTGGTCAGAATTGAAGGAATGATGGATGGCGCTAAATATAGGAAAATTCTTGAGGGAAACCTATTTCAGTCTTCCAGAGATTTGAGACTGGGACGGAGGTTCACCTTCCAGCAGGACAATGACCCTAAGCATACTGCTAAAGCAACACTCTAGTGGTTTAAGGGGACACATTTAAATGTCTTGGAAAGGCCTAGTCAAAGCCCAGACCTCAATCCAATTGAGAATCTGTGGTGTGACTTAAAGATTGCTGTACACCAGCGGAACCCATCCAACTTGAAGGAGCTGGAACAGTTTTGCCTTGAAGAATGGGCAAAAATCCCAGTGGCTAGATGTGCCAAGCTTATAGAGACATACCCCAAGAGACTTGCAGCTGTAATTGCTGCAAAAGGTGGCTCTACAAAATATTGACTTTGGGGGGGGTGAATAGTTATGTACGCTCAAGTTCTGTTTTTTTTTAACTTATTTCTTGTTTATTTCACAAGAAAAAATATTTAGCTTTTTCAAAGTGGTAGGCATGTTGTGTAAATCAAATTATAAACCCCCCCCCCCCCCAAAAAAAAATATATATTTTAATTCCAGGTTGTAAGCCAACAAAATAGGAAAAATGCCATGGGGGGTGAATACATTCGCAAGCCACTGTACTATGGCAATATAGCATACACTACACATTGTATGAATGGAAAAGTCATGTTGGTGTAATCCTTTTAATTTTTAGTTTCCAATTTATGTAATCAATTAATAATTTAACTCTTCTAAATAAAATATGGACATGTTTGTGTGGATAGACGTGATTATTTATTTATTTGTAGATCGTGAAAACACTGAATAATCTTTTCTTACAGGGCTACATTAATTAGGCCAGTCGGCTGTCCTACTGTGGCATATTGTGCTATATTAAAGAAACAATCTCTGAATTGGAAAGAAATGTGGTAGGGAAAGGAATTTTTTATTATTATCTTAAAAGGTAACATGCAAAGGTTTCCCAGTTTTTTTTGTGTGTGTTTTTTTAACCTTTATATAACAGCTAATAACATAATAAAATGATCTGCAATAATATTTCGGTCAGAGTACATTTTGTATCCTTGATTTAACACTAAGAGAGGCATGACCACCTGTCAACATGCTCCTTTGGAATGCTTGGAAATTATGTCATTTCAAGGCATTGTGAAAATTCCATAATCTGAAAAGGTCAAAGTCATCTGATTTAGGTGCACAATTTCACACAATCTCTGAGCTCACATGCTCGATATTGTACACAATTAAAAACAATCAGAACTCTATTTTACGTTTTACATTTGATCCAGCTATTCCAGTGAGGAAATATTCCAGAGCTGGGATTTTGAAGTAGTTTTCACTTACATTTACATTTTAGTCATTTAGCAGATGCTCTTATCCAGAGCGGGTTACAGTTAGTGAGTGCATACATTTTCATACTTTTCACTTGCGCTGCACAGTGAGACCTTCCCGCGTCTAGTTGGATTTATGCTGTAGAATGAGAAGATGCTGTTCTCCATCTAGCTAATTATAATAAACCACTTGAAACGACACTACAGTTTACTGTGATCTTTATGAATGGACAGCGCTAAAATGGTGAGAGTATTTGTGATTGAGAAAAATAATCAAATACATTTTACCAGGAGAGATCATGGGTATAACGTTACTTGGCTAGCTAGCTACTATCTAGCAACACTTGGGCTAGCTATCGTTAGCTAGCTAGCTAACCTTGTGCTCACAGTATATTTAGCAGAACAGGCCTAGCTATATGGTAACATTTAACCAGAAATATCATAACTTAATTATTTTTAATGTGGTAGCTAACTAGTTAGCCACGATTTGGTTAGTTAACTAGCTAGTTAGCTGTCTGCAGAATAAATGGTTGTCTAGCTAGCTAACTTTCTAGCTAGTTAGCTAGTTTACTTCTTGGGAAACAATATTTCTGCTAAGTGTATTAACTTGCTAACATTCATTATAGATGATTTATGTCATACAACAATTTCGTATTACCTCAAAAATGTAGCTAGCTAGTTAGCTAGCTAGTATAAACTGTTTAAATGACAGCCTCATCACATTGATTGGGAATTTACTGACTGGCTATAGCTAGCTAACTAGTCACATATCTCATTATCTGCATATGAGTGATCATTATTGACATAAATGTTTAATCCCCATATATACAAGTGTCCTCTGTAGCTCAGCTGGTAGAGCACGGCGCTTGTAACGCCAAGGTAGTGGGTTCGATCCCCGGGACCACCCATACACAAAAAATGTATGCACGCATGACTGTAAGTCGCTTTGGATAAAAGTGTCTGCTAAATGGCATATTATTATTATTTTATTATTATCATGTCAGTATAATTTGTTTTATTTCTGATCCAGAAAAGCGCTCACAAAAGCCGCATCTGTAGCTTGTGTTGCTTGCAGTAAACCATTGTTGTTTTCTTTAAGCCTTGAAATTATGTCATCCTTGCATTCTGGCCAGAAAATGACATCTTTGAAAAAAATGACAGCCAAAATGTAATGATAGACAAAAATACTGTTGTGGATTATTTAATGAAGCCTACATGAGCATTATTATTAAGAGTTAGGGTTTTTATGGAGAACTTTAGCTTTAATCAATTAAAAATACAAAGTGCTTCATTTTATATTGATATGTAGATTGTCTATCACACATTTTGCTGCAATCCATATCACTTTTGTTTACAATGTTTTAATTAATTAAAAGTTGTTCTTCAGTAACGTTATTTTCGCAGACGAGTAGCCTCGATGTAGGCATCATTTGGGTAAGTAATAGTCTGCAATTAAACATGATAACTACATCATTCTACTACCAGGAGATTCTAGTCTAATCATATTTTTTCAGTTGTTATATGACATTACTCAGTTAAACGTTTTCCTATATAGATTTCGTTGTTCTTGATGTTACTTAATTCGGGTGGGAGTAGTGAACGCAGACAATGGCCATTTCCGCAGTCTAGTATCAAGCTGGCTTGGCGCGGTAAAAACGTAATTTTATCTGGTCTGCTAGTTTATTCCGGTGTTCCTTTCGTTGCAGCCACGGATATTTTAGGGCAGAGCTCCGTGTAATCTCCCGGTAGTATTGTTTTGAGGAAACCAGCGCTAACACAGTGGTACCTGAGAAGTTTAGCTTGTTAGTTGCAATCGACCCTTTATACTTACAAAGCAATTGAGGTTGGGTCTGTCATCATACATGACATAAGGGAGTTTGCAAATTATAACCAACGTAATTATGTTGATTGAAAGAACTGACCTGGGAACCGGCATCACAACTCTTGGCCTCACTCCTCATCCTTTCCCTTCTGTGACAGAGAGGATGGATGGATTATGAGAAGATTAAAATTTTACTGTGTACTGTAAAACATTTTATACTGTGTACTCTGGTTGAAATTTTACAATGGGGAACTTCAACAGGTATGTATAGTTACTTGGTAACAAATTATGCATTTATTACTTATTTTCTTCAGGAATACATGGGTGAATATCGAGAATTGAAATGACCATTAAACAGAGTCCCAGATACCAGACTTTAAAACTATTTAAGGTTGAGGCTTTTGCCATGGGAAGCTGCAAAATTACAACCATTACAACACTGTACATTGACAGCAAATTCACTGACCTTGGAGCCGGCATCACGACTCTTGGCTCTCATCTTGTTGACCTGAGACTCAGCAATATCAGCCCTCTCTTCTGCCTCATCCAGTTCATGCTGAATCTTACGGAACTTGCCCAAATTGGCATTGGCTTGTTCCTCCTGTGAAAAATGTTAAATATGATTTAAGTTTCTAGCAAACACAACAATTTGAGAATTACAAATGCATCAGTTGGATGATGGAAGGTTTTCTACTTACGGCCTCCTCTGAAGTTCTCTTGTAGGATTTGACCTTCAGCTGCAGTTTGTCCACCAGGTCCTGCAGACGGCTCAAATTCTTACGGTCTTCCTCAGTCTGCACCCAAAAATAATGGAATAAATCATAAGTCATACTGAATACAATATAAATGTTACATTTGATTCTGAACATGTTAATAGTGCACTTTCAACTTAAAGTTTATGATGTACCTGGTATGTGAGCTCCTTGATGCGTCTCTCATATTTACGGACTCCTTTCACAGAATCACTGCTCCTCCTTTGCTCCATTTCCACTTCACTCTCTAGCTCTCTCACCTAGAAAGATATGATCAACGTTAACACACCATTTCCAATTATTTTGTTAGTTACCACTACTTTCAATATTGAAGATAGAAATATGTCTAGAAATATGAAATGTGACATTGAATTAATAGAAAGGAATGTAGCTTAGACACTTACTCTGGCCTCCAGCTTCTGGATCTGCTTCTTGCCACCCTTCATGGCGATTTGTTCAGCTTCATCCAGGCGGTGCTGCAGGTCCTTGATAGTCTGCTCCATGTTCTTTTTCATGCGCTCCAGGTGAGCACTGGTGTCCTGCTCCTTCTTCAGCTCCTCTGCCATCATGGCAGCATCAGTAATGGCCTTCTTGGCCTTTTCCTCAGCATTTCTGCACTCCTGCACAGCCTCCTCCACTTCATTCTGAAGCTGGGATGTGTCGCCCTCTAGCTTCTTCTTCTGGCTCAGTAAGCTGGTGTTCTACATATACAGTGGGGAGAACAAGTATTTGATACACTGCCGATTTTGCAGGTTTTCCTACTTACAAAGCATGTAGAGGACTGTGAGAGACGGAATCTAAAACAAAAATCCTGAAAATCACATTGTATGATTTTTAAGTAATTAATTTGCATTTTATTGCATGACATAAGTATTTGATCACCTACCAACCAGTAAGAATTCCGGCTCTCACAGACCTGTTAGTTTTTCTTTAAGAAGCCCTCCTGTTCTTCACTCATTACCTGTATTAACTGCACCTGTTTGAACTCGTTACCTGTATAAAAGACACCTGTCCACACACTCAATCAAACATACTCCAACCTCTCCACAATGGCCAAGACCAGAGAGCTGTGTAAGGACATCAGGGATAAAATTGTAGACCTGCGCAAGGCTGGGATGGGCTACAGGACAATAGGCAAGCAGCTTGGTGAGAAGGCAACAACTGTTGGCGCAATTATTAGAAAATGGAAGAAGTTCAAGATGACGGTCAATCACCCTCGGTCTGGGGCTCCATGCAAGATTTCACCTCGTGGGGCATCAATGATCATGAGGAAGGTGAGGGATCAGCCCAGAACTACACGGCAGGACCTGGTCAATGACCTGAAGAGAGCTGGGACCACAGTCTCAAAGAAAACCATTAGTAACAAACTACGCCGTCATGGATTAAAATCCTGCAGCGTACGCAAGGTCCCCCTGCTCAAGCCAGCGCATGTCCAGGCCCGTCTGAAGTTTGCCAATGACCATCTGGATGATCCAGAGGAGGAATGGGAGAAGGTCATGTGGTCTGATGAGACAAAAATATAGCTTTTTGGTCTAAACTCCACTCGCCGTGTTTGGAGGAAGAAGAAGGTTGAATACAACCCCAAGAACACCATCCCAACCGTGAAGCATGGAGTTGGAAACATCATTCTTTGGGGATGCTTTTCTGCAAAGGGGACAGGACGACTGCACCGTATTGAGGGGAGGATGGATGCGGCCATGTATCGCGAGATCTTGGCCAACAACCTCCTTCCCTCAGTAAGAGCATTGAAGATGGGTCGTGGCTGGGTCTTCCAGCATGAAATGACCCGAAACACACAGCCAGGGCAACTAAGGAGTGGCTCCGTAAGACGCATCTCAAGGTCCTGGAGTGGCCTAGCCAGTCTCCAGACCTGTACCCAATAGAAATTCTTTGGAGGGAGCTGAAAGTCCGTATTGCCCAAGCGACAGCCCCGAAACCTGAAGGATCTGGAGAAGGTCTGTATGGAGGAGTGGGGCAAAATCCCTGCTGCAGTGTGTGCAACCCTGGTCAAGACCTACAGGAAATGTATGATCTCTGTAATCGCAAACAAAGGTTTCTGTACCAAATATTAAGTTCTGCTTTTCTGATGTATCAAATACTTATGTCATGCAATAAAATGCAAATTAATTACTTAAAAATCATACAATGTGATTTTCTGGATTTTTGACTTCGATTCCGTCTCTCACAGTTGAAGTGTAACTATGATAAAAATTACAGACCTCTACATGCTTTGTAAGTAGGAAAACCTGCAAAATCGGCAGTGTATCAAATACTTGTTCTCCCCACTGTATATGAAACGTTATTCGTATATTACCTCTACATACCTCAAGTAGCAGATATTTAAGGAGATCCCTAATTGTTATCTATTACTGTCTTACCTGTGAGTGCAGCAGCTGAACTCTCTCACTAACATCAAGCAGTTCCTGCTCAGCCAGTTTGCGGCCTCTCTCAGTCTGCTCCACCAGGGCTCTCAGCTCATCCAGTTCAGCCTGCATCAGGTTGTTGCGTCTCTCCACAATGGCAATGTTCTCCTTCAAGTCATCACTGACACGAAGAGCATCATCCAGCTGCAGTTGAGAATCCTGTAGAGAGAATTTTACTATATTTATTTTATTGTTACACAGTGTGGCTTTTTTTTAAGGCAAATGCAATGTTTTTAATTCAATGGTGTGGAAATATTACCTTCAGATGGGAATGGAGACCCTTAAGTTGCTTCTGGGCCTCGGATGCCTGCCTGTTGGCCTGGCTGAGCTGGATCTCCATCTCATTGAGATCTCCCTCCATCTTCTTCTTCAGCCTGAGAGCTTCATTCCTGCTGCGAGTCTCTGACTCCAGGGAGCTTTGCAGGGTATCCACAACTCTCTGCTGGTTCCTCTTATTCATCTCCATTTCCTCATCCTTCTCCACCATCTTCCGTTCAATGTCAGCTTTCACCTGATTAAACTCCAGCTGAGCTCTCATGATCTTGCCCTCCTCATGCTCCAGGGAGCCCTATGAGAACACAGCCACCCATAGTTTGTAAAATCTTTAAATGTAATTCTGGTACTTTCACTACGAGTAAATATTTTCCAGTCTCACCTCAGCTTCCTCTAGAGCAGACTGTATCTCAGCCTTCTCCTGCTCCAGCTGTTTACGGATCTTTTCCAGTTCATGGATGTTCTTTCCTCCCTCACCAAGCTGCTCAGTCAGGTCAGAAATTTCCTCTGTGGAAAGACATAATTGTACATCAAAATCTTTTTGTGATAACTGATCTCTATAACATATCAATCTTTAATTGACTAAGATATATAGGCCATTAATTCTTATGCTCTGACCTTGGAGGTTCTTGTTCTCCCTCTTCATGGTCTCCAGATGATCCAGAGACTCCTCATAAGAGTTCTTGAGTTTGAAGAGCTCAGTGCTAAGAGATCTGGCCTCTTTCTGGGAGCTCTCCAACTCAGTCTGAGACTCCTCAAACTTCTGCTTCCACTCAGCCAGGACCTGGAAGTCATACATGTATTGTAGGTAGTTGGAATACAGTGTATGATTAAGATAAGATATACTTTATTGTCCATTAACTTACAGAGAACCGAAATGTGTCTTTATGCTCACAACCCAACCCCCCGTGACACACAGGGGCTGGAAGCAATGGGTCAGCTGCAGTGCAGCGCCCTTGGAGCAATTATTGGGTGTTAAGTAACTTGCTCAAGGGAACAACAGCAGGCGGTGGTACTGTAGGATGTAGTAACTCCGCACCAGGTTTTCCCATCTGAGGGTGTTGGCCCACATCTCTAACCACTAGGCTCCCTGCCACCCCTATCATGTACTATAATTAAGGCTAATATTACTTTTTTCTTACCTTGTCAAAGTTCCTTTGCTTCTTGTCCAGAGAGGCAGCAGCTGCATTGGATCTCTCCACATCCACCATGAGATCTTCAATCTCATTCTGGAGTCTGTGTTTAGTCTTCTCCAGGGATGAACATTTAGCATTTACAGCTTCCACAGCTTCCTCTGCATCCTGCAGACGCTGAGCCAGCTTCTTCCTAGATTGACATAGATGAGAAACACATTTCAGAACGTCTTTTCTGGCTGATATACAATATAATGGTTGATTAACAGCTAATCAATGTATTATTTATTCATCATGTACTTTTGTGTATCGCTCATTCACCCAATATTCAACAGCCTGAAAAGTAAGAGAAAGTAAGAAAACATCCTTACTTTGCATCCTCAAGCTCCTCAGTCTTCTGGATGGCATCAGTTTCATACTTGGTTCTCCACTGAGCCACCTCAGCATTAGCCTTGGACATGCCACGCTGCAGCTCAGCCTTGGCCTCCTGCTCCTCCTCATACTGCTCCCTCAGTAGATCTGAGTCATGGCGAGCAGACTGCACTGCATGGGCAAGTGCATTCTTTGCCTGGTAATGACATAAAAAAAAATATAAATGTGACTTGTTTCAGGAAACTAGGTGTATGTCGCGCGTCACTACTTCACAGGACAGGCATTTTAACCTAAAAGTTTTTTGTGTTTTTATCAAAATGTGTTTTTTGACAGAAATGCCTTCTGGAACATGTGAACTTTCATGTGCCTTAATAACAACGTTGTATGCCATCTGTAAATGCGAGTAAAGTTGTTAAATTACGAGCCTTGTTGATTTAGCCACGGAAAAAGACCGGAACCTTCCCGCTAGCCATGATTGGCTGAGATAATGGATGTGCACGACATGTCGAGAGATGAGTTTGGATTGGTCTGCCATGTAGCATGCTTCTGTCTATAACAAAAGGCTGTTCAGTATGTGTAGGTAATCATTTCTAACACTGCTTTTTTTTTAAAGATATCACGAATAACTGCAAAAGTGTTGCTAATGCTCTTGACTTTCTGGAGGACCAAGTTTTGAAATCAGTGTAATGCCCGGTGGAAGCAGAGTATGATAGCTAAGGAGATGGAGAAATTTCTGGCATTTGATTGCAAATATGCGGATGGAGTCGAAAAGAGAACACCCAGATGGCTGTTGTATAAAACACCTGTCTGGATTATATCTTCAAACTAAGCGCTGCCATGGCATCCGTGACAGAGAGGGAGAAGCGTTCATCCATTTATACGGGTAAGATAATCTAGCTGGCTACATTTTCAGATATTAGACGTTTCTAATTTTGTCAGAAAGCTGTTGTCATTGGAAGTTAAAGCGTACTGTTAACTTGCTAGCTAACGTTACATGTATGAACTGTGTCGTAATATTATTCGTATCTCAGAGCCATTTTTATTGGTAGTTATAGCCTAATGTTAGCTAGCTAGCTAACATTGAATCTAGTTGGTTAGCTACCTGCAGATTCATTCCAGGGTGGTAACGTTATGAGTTGGGATTATGGTTAATTGTTTAGCTAGCTAGCTACATGTCTAAACAAAAGACTCCACTATGCAAGGTACCATTTCACTGTACCGTTTACACCTTCCGTATCCTGTGCATGTGACGAAGAAACGTTGATTTTATTTGATATAGTGTGTGTTTAGCAGAGACCGTAATGTGAAGAACAACATGACCTGCAAGTCAAATTAGGATACAACGTTAGGCCAACGAGACAGTGTCCAAGTTCTAAAATTCTCTGGTAGAATGCCCTGCTTTTAAAGTTGTATTATGTCACACTCACAACCGTAAGCTATTTTCTGTAATTAGCTTGCCATTAACATGTAAATAGTGATCTTGTTGTGAGTTTATTTTCCTGCAATAATAAATAAAATTAGCTAAAGTTAAGACGATGTTAGCTATTTGATGTGGTCATTATTTGAACTGGCAAGCCAGCTAACTTAACATGAGCTACCTAGCTAACAAGCTAGAAACTAACCAAAACATTGTTTAGAAAGTTGCTTTTAGTTGCTTAGTTTGCTCATTTTTAAACGGATGGGTTTATTGGTGTTAAAATACACCAGTTATGCTATTTTGGACCACCAGGCTGCTGATGTCATGCATGTGAATCCTTAAAGAGATGGGTGGGGCTAAGGCTTAAGAGAATGTGAACGATTCTGAATGGGTGTAGACAAAGAAGAGCTCTCCAGTACGTGTACCAAAACATTCAAGGGCCATTTATTTTTCAACTTTCAAAATATAATTACTTTCCCATTGTTTCTCAACTGTAGTGTATGATACACCATTTTCTAGCTCTGAGTCTCTACTTTTATCCAATGTAGAAAACAAAATTTCAAATTTTGCTACATAAAACCGAATCGAGCCGGTTGGTCACAAATGTAGTTAGATAAGGAACACTGCATTATTTGTCTAAATACCTTGACTTCCTCCTCCAGTTGTCTCTTGAGGTCTTCAATCTGCTGAACATTGGACTGCTTACCTCTGGTCAGTTGGGAGACCAGAGAGTCCTTCTCCTCCAACTGTCTGGCAAGTTCACCTGTTTTCATGCAATTCAAATTATATTACTTAATCTGGTTATTTATTGTGGCTGTTTATGTGAATGTCCAGGTTTTTTGTTAATATACCATTCTCAGTTTGAAGCTTTGCTTTCTGCATGGTGAAATCATTGATGGATCGCTGTCCTTCCTCAGCTTTCGTCCTGTATTCACTCATCTGGTCCTCTAGAGTGCGGCACATTTTCTCCAAGTTTGTCTAAAAGCAGATTTGTTTTTGAATGACAGAACAGCGTCACTAGATTGTATCTTTAAAAAGCATGTATAGAAAACATTTTATTTAGATTTACCAATGATACCACATACTTTGGACTTGACAATCTGCTCCATGTTGGAGACCACATCATCCAGCTCCAGCCTGAGCTCACTCTTCTCTTTCTCGAGCTTCTGCTTCACTCTCTGAAGGTTGTCAATCTGTTCTCCCAGGTCAGCTACACTGTCAGCATTTTTCTTCCTCAGAGTTGCAGCTGTAGCTTCATGCTGCAGAGTAGCTTCTTCAAGGTCTCTGCGCACCTTCTGGAACTCAGCCTCCCTCTTCTTGTTCATCTCAATCTGGGCAGCAGTGGCTCCACCAGCCTCCTCCAGCCTCTCACTGATCTCTTCTAGTTCTCTGGCCAAGTCTGCCCTCTGTTTCTCCACCTTGGCACGGGCAGCTCTCTCAGCCTCCAGCTCTTCTTCTAATTCCTCAATGCGGGCCTGAAATGGTAGGAATTCAGTTTGTCTAGTTCAAATGTAACTTTCATGAATAAAATGTTTTAACAATTGTCTTGAATTACCTGCAGCTCCTTCAGTTTTTTCTGAAGCTGGGCACCCAAGGCCTGCTCATCTTCAATCTTGCTGTTGAGTTGGCTCATCTCAAAGTCCTTCCTGTTGAGAAGAATATGCATTTATAGTGTTTTCTATTGAATAATACTTTGTAAAAACTTTTTGATCTGTGATCTTACTTCTTCATTCTCTCCTCCAGCTGCTGCTTGTCATTCTCCAGGTCCATTAGGCTCTCCTGGGTCAACTTCAAGTCACCCTCCAGCTTTCTCTTGGCTCGCTCAAGGTCCATTCTCACCTTCTTCTCTTGCTCCAGAGATCCTTCAAGCTGATAGAATATTTATTAAACCAATATTCGGAGTAACCAATTATTTCACTGTAGCCTGTTTTTAGGATATTACTAATTTTGTTTTACTTTTTATGAATTCCTATTTCATACTCACGTCATCAACTTGCTGTTCCAGTTTGGCTTTGGCCTTGGTCAGCGTGTTGACTTTGTCCTCCTCACTTTGCAAGTCATCCAGCGTTTGCTGATGAGCCTCCTGCAGAGCCTTCTTCTCCTTGGTCAGCTTGGCAATGATTTCGTCCAGAGCTGCCATCTCCTCAGTAAGGTTTTTAACCTAAGGACACAGAACAGTGTCATTACACTTTTATCCAAACAATTTAATTGTAGTTTTAACATCACAAGAAATAATCATTTATGTTACCTTGTTCTCTGTGGCATGCTTTTCCTTCTCCACTTTAGCCAGAGTGAGCTCCAGATCATCAATGTCCTTCTTGAGTTCTGAGCACTCATCCTCCAGCTTCCTCTTCTTTGCAGTTAGCTCTGAATTCATCTCCTCCTCATCCTCCAGTCTTTCTGTCAGCTCTTTGGCTTTGGCCTCAAGCTGGATTTTGCTTTTGATCAGACCCTCACATCTCTCTTCAGCATCAACAATAGTGTCTTCTTGCTGTCAATGAGTCAATATATTGTAAGTATATAAAATTATCCAATGCTTAGAAGTTTGTTTGGTGGAAAGATATTTGGACACTACAAATGCTCGACAAATGCTCTCCTGATTGTATGTATCTATTTAGCAAATCATGTCTCTTTTCTCTCTGTTTTTCAATTTCTCTTGTTAGCTCTTAGCTAAAAGCTAACTAGAAAGGCAATTTTGACCAAACATGTGACTGTAGCAAAGAAACTGTAGTGCAGTTAAAGTTACTCACAGTTTGGACAGCGAGCTGCAGGTCATTCTTCTCTTGGAGAAGGGACACCATCTTTTCTTCCAGCTCCTTTTTACGGGCTTCAGATTTAGCATAAGCCTCTTTAAGCTTCAGGAATTCTTCCTTCATGTTGGCCATCTCCTTCTCAGTCTCTGCTGACTTCAGCAGAGGTTTGATCTTGAAGTACATCTTCATCCAGGGCCAATTCTTGACACCCATGAAGGCACGAATGTTCCATTGGATCACAAGCAAGGCATCCCTGTGAAATTTTAATAAAATATAGATAAATACAACCTTTCCTCACCCCTAAAATATTGTCTGCAAAAGTTTAAGCTATTCTCATTCCTACCTGCGGTCAACAATTTTCTGGAACTCAATTCTGGCAAGTAGACCACGTGATCTGGCCTGGATGCCAGTGATGATAAGAGCGAGACGATCGTCTCTCATCTCCTCAAGTAGACCCAGGAGACCAGCCTTGAAGAACACCTAAAGATACACAAAGGACATAATGTGGTGCTTAGATGTTCTTGTATTTGGTAGGATTGTATCTTTCTGCCAAATGACCATAAATAACTTGAATGTGGTATCCCCCAGTTTCCCAAAACTTTCTTGCCTCTAGGAAAATGGCACAAATTGACAACAAGTTGGCCCTGTATTGAGCAACTGATTTTACAACTTCCGACCCAGCATGTTGACCAAGAGTTGCTAGATTTGGCAAGGTCTTTAAAAACATGTACAGGAAGTCTATCTCAAAAAGTATGGCCACTATGCTTTTAATTGCTCACTGTATATCTGGATCTACTACATTATGGTGCTATAGCAAGTATCTATTTTTATTTCTTGACTTTACCCATTTGCCCTAGAGACAGATGAAATGAGATAAGCATGATCAGTGGTACATCAGCAGTTATTTCAAAAGGCATTGCTCAGGTTGGCCGGCTGGTGATGTATTGTTAATGTAATGCTTGGACCCCGTAATTGCTGCTACTTTTCCATCCTGGAATTTATGCTAAGTTCATAACCAAGTGGTAGGTCGCAATTTACCATTTGAATACATTCACATGCTTTGAACATGTTGAGAAACGCTGATTGGCTAATGGCCATAAACTAAAAGTACAGCTATCATTGCTTGTAAACAAATTATAGTGTTCAAAAACCATATTAATAGATTGCTTTTTATGAATCATATTTTGTCCGATAATGCTGTTATCGAGGTAATTTCCTTAGTAAGGGACGTCAGAGGTCAGCATGTGGGAGAAGTGGGATCTCAGGATGATAGACAAGTTTCCCACTAGTAATTACCAGTTGAAGGGGAGTTCAAGTGGATTATTTAGAGTCGTATGTGGTAAATTCCTACTTTCTACTTGGTTACGAATGCACCATTAGATAATTTACCTTAGTGTGTCCTAATCTGTACTGGGTGTGGTCAATGTCCAAAGTGCCCAGCAATTTTTCTGATGCCTTCATGTTGTCCATGAACTGACCCTCAGGGATAGCATTTGGATTGAGGATGCGGTATCTGAATTTAAATCAGAAAGCAATTATCTTCAAAAATGGAAGACTTGAATAGGTAAAGAGTTGAATTTATTTTGGAAAGGAAATGAAAGACTATTTTTACCTTTGTTTGAAGTCAGCATACAGGATCCTGTTGGGGAAGCCCTTTCTGCAGATCCTGATGCCTTCCAGCACACCGTTACAGCGCAGCTGGTGCATGACCAGAGGATTCTCCATGGCCCCAGGAGTCTTGGTCTCGTTGGGGATGATGCAACGCACAAAGTGGGGGTGAGTAGACCTCAAGTTGGTCATGAGTTTACCCAAGTTCTCCTGTGAGTATGACAAATGTAAAATTTTCCATCAGTGAATGAGTCTCTAAATACCTCTCGAGTCACAACGGCATTTAATGCTAACATACCAATACACAACATACTGGTATTTCAAATTTAGTGCAAATATAATACATTTGTTAATTATCTTCCATGTGAAAACATCAGAAATATATTGATCTAAGCTCAGATTTACCCTGTGCAATGCAGACACAGTCTGGAAGGAAGAGCCTTTCTTCTTTTTTCCTCCAGCTGCTTTTTCTTCAGGTGCTGTATGATAATGAAATAACAATTCAAATATACTATTATTACTACTATCATGTAGATCAGGGGTCTCCAACAGGTCGATAGCTAGCTACCAGTCGCTCGCAGCCAACCTATGAGTTGCTCGCCAAACAATTCTGAAAGTATACGCAATTTTCATATTCCACCGCAAGGTGTCATAAACAAATCTCACAAGTAGGCCTATCAGACACCGCAAGCTCCCAGCTACTACCTAATCAATGGAACATTATCCCACCCCTGGTTAGCCACTATAGGCTTAAAAAGCCAAACCTGACACAATATCTGCCAATTAATTTCCAGCAATATTACCTGTCTGTTTGTGTGGTGCGCGTGTTTGTTTGTCATTCCGTGTGTAGCCAGTTGATGATTACGGTCTTGTGGGTTGACAGAAATACTTTCCCCAAAACCTTCTCAATTAAACATTAACTGCAAAGTAGGCTTACCTGGCAGAAGTATACAGTGTCATGATTAAGTATATAATTTGTATCTATTATTTGCAAACTTTGCTATGAAATGAGCAGCAGCATTGCTAGACCGGCACATTACACTGTACATTCTTCACATGCTAGATGCGCAATTAAAGGGGCCAGATGCGCAATTAAAGGGGAATTAAACTCAAAATTAAAAATGATCTTCTGATATGATTTAAGCATTGACATCGACTCAGAACATCCCATTTCGTTGTTTCTCTATGAACAATTTTAATTTTGGGAGTAAAAAAAGTACAAAATCTAAAACCAGGAAAAATAAAACTGAGAAAACAATTTCAGAAAATATAAACCATAATTAGGGATAAAAAACTGATTTTATAGGGCCCCCCTTATAGTTGTTTTATGAACCATTATTTTACCAGGTATATTGACAGGAAACATAGTGCACTACTTTCTCTTATACACTAAGGACTCGAGGAAGAATTGCAGGGGAGAGGAGAAGAGTGCCTATTTGAAAGCTAGAAAAAAATGATTAGCTCAAAACATGATTCATTTTTTAAAAGTAGCTCTCATAGTAGAAAAGGTTGGAGAGACTCCTGATATAGATTGTTATGTATTTTAGTGGTTTGTAGTGTTTGCAGATAGAAACATATAGTACCTCCTTCTGCACCAGCATAGTTTGCAAAGAGGTTGGCCAGGAACTTAAGACTTGACTTCTGGAACAGTCCGACCACAGTCTCATTCAGCGGATCCTTGTTCTTCACCAGCCAGTTACCAATGTTGTAGTCAACAATGCCAGCATAGTGAACCATGGAGAAATGGGCCTCTGGTTTACCCTTAACAATCCTAGGCTTCTGGAAGCATGCATTTTTGCCCAGATGGTTTTCATACAGCTTAGCTTTGAATGTATTATCACTGGCCTTGGGGAACATGCACTCCTCTTCAAGGATGGACATGATACCCATGGGCTAGTGGAAGGAAAGAATGAAAATAAATTAATACTAAGGGAAAAGCATAGTGAATAAATATCAGAATAATTTGTCATTGAAGCACATTGATGAAGATTGCCCTTGTAATGTTTGAAATCTCAAAGAATACTCTGTACACATCATATAAACTACTGCACAACTGAAGACACCAACCCTTTCAATGAGGTCAATGCAGGCAGCCAAGTCCATGCCAAAGTCAATGAACTCCCAGACGATGCCCTCTTTCTTATACTCTTCCTGCTCCAGCACAAACATGTGGTGGTTGAAGAACTGCTGCAGCTTCTCATTAGTGAAGTTGATGCACAGCTGCTCAAAGGTGTTGAACTGGAAGGGAAGTTCAGTTACTTTATTTTGTCAGCTGTAATGTTCTAGATGACATGTTATAAAATTTACATCAAACACTCACATCAAAGATCTCAAAGCCAGCAATGTCCAGCACACCAATGTAGTGCTGACGAGCGTTCTTAGTGTCCAATGTAAGGTTGATTCTTATCACCATCCAGAGGAACATGTTCTCGTAAATTTTCTTTGCCAGTGCACCAATAGAGTAGTACACCTACAAAATATTAAGAAAATAAAATACCAAAACATAGCCTCAACATAAACACCTAGAAACAGATTAGGCCTAGTCCTGGACTAAAAAGCATGCTCAATGGGGAATGACAGGTATGAACATCTTAGCAACTTTATAGACAAGTTTTATGCTGAATATTAATTACTTTTTTGGGAGACTCACCTGGTTGACATTCTGACCTTTGGTGACCCACTCATTTCCAACTTTGACCCTTGGGTTACACAAGCCCTTGACCATGTCAGCAGAGTTCAGGCCCATCAGATATGCAGCTTTGTCAAGATCTAGAAAGGCCAAGTTTTATGATTGAAAGAGGCAATCTAACAGATTTTTCAGATACTACTTTATAATGAAGTGAGAGGTTTTAAATCCTCAGCACTCACCCTCAGTGCCATCTGCCTCTGCTTGCTCCTCCCGCTGCTTATTCTTGAACTTCATGTTGCCGTAGTGCATGATGGCACCAGTCAGCTTATAAATGCCATTCTTCTCCTCTTGGGAGAAGCCCAGCACATCAAAGGCATCCTAGTTCCAAAAAGGCCATTGTTTTGTATTGGAGAAAGAGTTGGATACAAGTGGAAAATTATTGTATGTACAGTATGTACATATTTTACTCACATCAGTAGCCATTAGCTCATCTGCATCATTAATGGAAGTTACAGCAATCTCTCCTTGGGAGATGAAGGCATAGTCATAGGGATTGCTAGTGATGAGTAGCATCTCTGAAAAGAATTGAACAGCACAGTTTAATTTGTGTTCATGCTGTGGTATAGCTCATAACATAATCTACTCAGTATTAGGGTTGGGGTCAATTAGAAAATTGGCATTGTGTTATATTATAAGTAGACAGGAAAGCAAATTAGTCAGAGTTTCTAAAAACTGCAGCTGGTGATTGTTTTGTGTTCATTGAATTTCAATGTTGTGTGCTTAAATGGCATTTAAATAATTGCACCTTTCTGATGGACAAAGGAAATGTTCCAACATAAATCACCTACATTGTGTTGTGAGTTTTACAGTGGAGGGATGGGGGTAGCACACTGCCTGGGCTGGTTACATCATAAGAATTTTATTGGATTTCATCAGAAATCTTAAGTTTAATCCAGAATTGATCTCAACCCTACTCAGTTTGATGATTCAATACTCACCCAGCAGTTCTGGTTTCTGTTGGGACAGGATCTGGTAGAAGATGTGATAGTCTCTCTCAGCCTTGAGCTGGAAAGTTACACGTGACTTCTCCAGAAGATCTGATCAGTATGGAAAGTGCTTTTGGTATTAATGTGTTTCCTGTCAAAGAGATCTGTTCAAACCTGGGCAAATTGAGTATTGTACTCACAAGTCTCAATGTCAGCAGACGAAAGCTTCCCAGTGACTCCAAAATGAATTCGGATGAATTTACCCTGGAAGTTATTGTCAAAGCAGAAATTAATAATCACATTAGATCTGGGTTCAAGTAGTATTTGTTTTCTTTTTTGAATACCTTAGTAGGTGCGCATGATTGAGCTTGCATGGTGTAATGGAACTGATGGAATAGTCCTAAAAGTTTTAATTCCACCTATCTGGTTCTCAATCAGACACTGAAAATATTTTAAAGAAAACAAATACTATTTAAACCCAGCTCTGTTGCACACATACAGTCCCAAAAGGGAAGATTAGTTGATGGACACGAGGAAGATTAGCTGACGTCATGACATCAACTAATTGTATCCTAATAAATTTCAACCACAGAATATAACAGATAAGATTAACATTTACATTTTTACGTCATTTAGCAGACGCTCTTATCCAGAGCAACTTACAGTTAGTGCACACATTTTTTATTTATTTTTTATACTGGCCCCCCGTGGGAAACGAACCCACAACCCTGGCGTTGCAAACGCCATGCTCTAACAACTGAGCTACCTCCCTGCCGGCCATTCCCTCCCCTACCCTAGACGACGCTGGGCCAATTGTGTGCCGCCCCATTGGTCTCCCGGTTGCGGCCGGCTACGACAGAGCCTGGATTCGAACCAGGATCTCTAGTGGCACAGCTAGCACTGCGATGCAGTGCCTTAGACCACTGCGCCACTCGGGAGACTTGGAGTGATTAACATGTCTGATAAGATTTAAATGATATTTGACTGCAAACAAAGACCAAACGTACAAATCGGGAGGAGTTGTCATTCCTGATGGTCTTGGCATTACCAAAAGCCTCCAGGGCAGGATTGGCCTGGATGATTTGATCCTCCAGGGTCCCCTACAAACCAACAACCATACAGTGTTAAAATGCTGCAATAAAGATCTGTAGTCAACATATGCTTGTCCAGCCATGAAGAATGTTTAATTTAGGAGAAATAATGATGAAGTGATGCTTTTAGGACTTTTTTCCCGCAGCAGTTGCAGAAAAGTTTTTATTTTGGTGATTATTAGTTCTCAAAGATGATCTTATTAAGAAATATATTGGTCCATTATATTTTCAACATACTTATATCTGGTTTTAATTTATCCCAAAATTATTATTTTTATTACAATTTTTTATAGTGGCGGCCACAATTTAGCAGCAGCGGTGCACCGCTGCTAAATGCATATTGGGAAACGCTGAATGATGAACATTTGCATTCTATTTTACCTTTTTTTCTTCTGATGCACTTTTCTTTCCGCTAACAGCAGCAATACTGGCGAAGTACTGGATGACTCTCTTGGTGTTAACAGTCTTTCCAGCACCGGATTCTCCACTGGGATTTAAAAATACAAATGTTGATGTCTCAGAATTTCTCTTAACTTTAAATAGCCTCAAATCGATATAACCTTTGGTTGATGTACTTACGTGATAAGGACAGACTGATTTTCCCTGTCTGTTGAAAGAGAAGTATCAGTAAGTACATAAAGTGTCATAAAAAAAATATATATGTCACTGTAGACTAGTGCTGAGAGATTAGTGCTTTTTGAGGTCAGTTCGGTTTTGGTTCAATTATTACATTTGTATTTTATTTTTAAACATTAAATGCATTATGAAATAATGACATTAAAATAATTATAGGTTTTTAATGGAAATTCCAAAGCCAAATAATGATAATTCAGTTGCAAAAACATTGAAAGTATTCCATGTCAGGTCCACATTGGGTAGACATCAATAGAAAAATAGAAAATTGCTATAAAACATATTTCAGTTGTGTAAATTACATTTACACTTTAGTCATTTAGCAGACGCTCTTATCCAGAGCGACTTACAGAATGACTTAGTTTTTATTTAATGAATTTATTATTAATGTATTATTCCTTAAAAGTCATCATCTCATCTCTGCTCAGGCAGTAGCAGCCAACCAGCCAGACAAAGTTCTCTCTGCTCCCAGTACTGTACTGTCTTTAGTCATCCTATTCAGCTAGGATACCCTGCCTAAGCATGGTGAGAGCTGTCTGACGTAATAAAACTTTCACAAACTCTCTCTTTCCCGCGCTATTATCATTGTGTTGTTTACATTCCTCTCTCATGCGGTCTATGCGGTCTGTGTGTATCTAACCTAACGTAACAGGCGCAATGGATGAAGGTCATTGTAGTTAATTACCATGTTTCTGCGCTGAACGAGGTTGAATATTTTCTTAATGAAAATCACAACTCCCTTCAGTCCAGCGTCCCACTCTCTCGTTTTGATTTGATTTCTTTAGAGAAACGGCGCGTTGGGCTCACAAAAAAAGAACGATGGTCAATTAGTTATTTAATAACCCCCCCCCACAAAAAAAAAAAAAAAAAAAAAAAATGTTGGTTAATCGCTCAGCACTAATTTAGATGACAAGATGACAAGTTATATTTTACCTGACAACATGTACTGGTAGGCATTGTCAGAGATGGAGAAGATGTGAGGTGGAGCTTCACTCCTCTTCTTGCCTCTGTAAGCATTTACAACCGACTGATCGTACACTGGCAGCCACTTGTATGGGTTGACAGTGACACAGAACAGCCCTGAGTAGGTCTGTGAAAGACGAGGATGCCGCAAATTCATTGAATGAATTATTGATGAAATGGAGATTTCAGCAGACTGGTCATTACTTACGTAGATCATCCAGGCTGCGTAACGCTCTTTGAGGTTAAACAGCACAGCGGGCTCGTGCAGGAAGGTGAACATCGCCATGTCCTCAATTTTATCAAATTTTGGCGGGTTCTGGGGGTGGACATCGTCCTCCTTCACAGTAACAGTCTGAAAGAAGAGCAAATTAAATAGTTTTTTTTACATTTTCAATGTGCAGAAGTATTCCATTTGAGACAAATCTTAACTTGAGATTAAACACAGTGTAACATTTTCACAAATCAACCATTTACATGTAATGCCTGATTTGCATGAAAGTTAAAGATCTCAAGTTAAGATTCTGCTCTTTGTTGTCTCTTGCTAGAAGGATTTTAATAGTAAACATTAAAGCGCATAACTCAATTCAGTTTGTAACTAATTGTTAATCAATCGTATAGTTATTCTAGTAGAAAAAAGTATTATCTTGTGATTTTCCAGGTCATATATTTTCAGAAATGTTTTTCACCAAAATATTTACCTTTCCAAACTCCGTATCAGCGGTGACTTTAGCCCCATCTCTGCTGGTGATTGTGGCCTTGACGTACTCAACCTCAGGGTCAGGTACATAGCACTCTCTTTTTATGTCAAAGGGTCTAGTCTGGCATTCCATGCGCTCCTTGTCTGATTTACGCAGAAAGGAAGCTGCAGCGCCAAACTCTGCCATCAAACTGTCCCCCATTCTTAAACCTGTAAAGGTATGTATCTATTATTATTAGGTTGAATTTGCTAAACTTCCCGATTTACATGTGCCAGTTCTCTCTGTTGCCGTGGTTTGTTGAATGCTAGGATTCTCATGACAAACATTTCTCAAACTTAAGAAAGAACAACTATTTAGATATTCATACTTTACAGTATTTTTTTAAATATCAACCATATTTTGATAGTTTTACATTTTATTCTGTTAATGACAAAGGGAACCATGCATATTGTGGTAATAATCTTATATCAGTGTAAAGCATTAATATTAAATAACATTAAATACATCAACAACTTTAGGGCTCCTGGGCTGTATTAGTGTTCTCTATGGAACCAGTTTTGGAATGCATAATGTAAATAAAAAATGTGGTCCCAAACATTTTCCACTAAAGACCTAAGTTAATTGGAGAATGGTATACTAGTATCACTATGTATACATGTGTACTGTATATGAGTAGTATATTGTACCATAGCATAATGGTCATGGCAGAACAAAATAACTTAAATATACGCCTAAAATAGACACGAGCGTCGAGGCAGGACAGCAGTAAACTACCAGATTTAGAGTCATAGATTAATAAGAGTTTATCTGAACAATATGAAGGTCAGCCAACCAATAGCACATTCGAAATAAAACAAAACATGTGAGGTTCACAGCAGACCAAAAGTAGCTAGGTCCACTGTAGCTGAAATATACCGCTTGTGTTAGTGATGTCACTGACAACATGTAATTACTGTACAGGAGAGATGTGTTATGCAACATATACAGATCTTAATTTGACCTATATTGTCACCGCAAAATAATCCTACAGTAAAAGGATTTAATCGTCCATAATGTTGCTTGATCGGTGGTTAGGCTATTATTAGCTGGCCAAAGGTAGGCTACATGAAAAGTGCAATACCTTTTATATAAACCGTGTGTTAGTATTGGTTTTCAGTGAATTCATGTAACTCACAAAGCTCATCTGCATTTCCTGCGTTGCAGAAAAATTCATCAACAAAAGAGTGTGTACATCTGTACAAGTTGACTACATTGATGTGTACAGACACTCAAATGTTTGCATTAGTATGCAAATTTGGCAAGCTGTTATAGTTTTCATGAAACACATTTAAAGACTTCACGCAAACCACTAGGAGGCGTGTTGTAGAACCTCTATTTTAGAAGATTATGATCCTTACCTGTTGGTCACCCCTGGGATACGTTTGGTGGAAAGGATCTCGACTGAAAATGAAACTGACATACAAATACCAATATCAGTCAACTGACCAGCTATTTGTGGTTATGAATATTGTTAGATCCTATAATGATTATCTTTGCCCTCCTCAGCAGACTGACTCTATATGTTTACCTTCAGGATGTCCGGTGCCTTGTGTCTCCCCCTGGTCTGTCTCCCCCTGGTCTCCGACACTCTTTATGAAGAGAGTTGCTCTGCCCTATATGGAGATGGTCCATCTATTATAATAAATTAGTCTGATTATTTTAGAAGATCTGTATTTGGGGTAGAGGTGTATACCTCTTTGACCTATCAGGCTGGTTGTAACAACAGGCTATTCCAGGGTGGACAGAGGATGCTTTGAAATGCATTGAAAGCATTACCCATGTTGTTTTACTTCTGAGATTCTCATTGTGAGGTAGCTTTGGATCGACAATAGCAAGCAGCAGGTCTTTACGGCTCCATTTTTGCCACTTCGATCAAATTGCAATCTTAGGCAATGTAGTCATCTAAAAATGCCAACATAAAGTTAAGTAATGGAAATTCTTAAAATTATGTATTTTTGTGCAATGACAAATTGCTAGTTAAAAAACATTTGGAAATGTTATAACATGTACATTTTTAAAAGATTGATTTAGTTGTTCTTGTGCTCATTTGTGAACACTTGGGCTTTTGTGCTGTTACTGCTTAACACCATTATGTTGGATTATTAAGGTGACATGAGAAGGTGTTCTTGCTGTGTGTAAGCTCATTTCATAATTGAGTTATTATGATGTAGACAACTGCAGCTGTCCTCCTTTGTTCACCATGGCAAGGTCACTCCCCAATCCATTGTCACCAAGAGTAATAACCCTAGGCCCTGTTGACCCGGCATTGTTTCCTTTCCTTTATTGTTGATGACAAAAATAATCTTGTGAAATTGTTCTTGGATGTGTCTAACATTAGTCCCAAAATGTTTTTTATTTTTTATTTTTTAAAGTTGAAACATCCTTATTTAATTTCATAACCGGTATTCAGCTGGTTATTTCAGCTTTTATGGATGTTAATGGTGTGTAATTGGATGTACAGCATAATGCAGTAAGATTATAATTGACATATGTAATCACATATTATTATCAGAGATGTTTGGAATAAAGTTTGACTCCTCTAATGTTCACTGAAGGTGAGCATAGAGAAGCTCAAGGACATTCAACCAGCAACACCCGAAACTCGTTGCCTCTGATTGGGAGCCACTCTGGCCACACTAGAAATAGCACCCATAGAAACAAAACACATGATCTACACACCCTGGCTCAACATAAACAGTGTCCCCAGGAGCCAGGGCGTGACAGTACCCCCCCTAAAGGCGCGGGACTCCAAACGGGGTCAACCAAATACCACAGGGGAGGGGAACGGGGTGGGCACCCCGGGCCTAGGGGGGCGGTCCGGCCCGGGCCTGATCCCCGCTCCCTCTCCAACCCCCAAAGTACCCCTGGTCCGGTCTGGCCCGCGGGCCCGGGAGCTGGACTGCACATGATGGAGCGGATTGCTCTAGCTCCGGCGTAAAACATCTGACTAGTGCGAACCAGGCACCAGTGGAACAGGCACGGGCCGTGCCGGACTGACGAGGGCCCACCACTGGCTGGTGGGAGAACAGGCCACGGGCCGTGCTGGACTGACAACGCACACCACTGGCTTGGGTGAGGAGCGGGAGTGAGCCGAACCGGGCTGACGAAACGCACCACTGACTTGGTGCGGGGAGCAGGAACGGGCCGAGCCGGGCTGACGAAGCGCACCACTGACTTGGTGCGGGGAGCAGGAACGGGCCGAGCCGGGCTGACGAAGCGCACCACTGACTTGGTGCGGGGAGCAGGAACGGGCCGAGCCGGGCTGACGAAGCGCACCACTGACTTGGTGCGGGGAGCAGGAACGGGCCGAGCCGGGCTGACGAAGCGCACCACTGACTTGGTGCGGGGAGCAGGAACGGGCCGAGCCGGGCTGACGAAGCGCACCACTGACTTGGTGCGGGGAGCAGGAACGGGCCGAGCCGGGCTGACGAAGCACACCACTGACTTGGTGCGGGGAGCAGGAACGGGCCGAGCCGGGCTGACGAAACGCACCACTGACTTGGTGCGGGGAGCAGGAACGGGCCGAGCCGGGATGACGAAGCGCACCACTGACTTGGTGCGGGGAGCAGGAACGGGCCGAGCCGGGCTGACGAAGCGCACCACTGACTTGGTGCGGGGAGCAGGAACAGACCGGACCGTACTGGGGACACACACCACTGGCCCTACACCGGGATCTGGAACGGGCCGGACCGGACTGGTAACACACCCCAGTACCTCTCGCCGTGCCTCTACACCTTCCATCCCCTCTTCGACCAGTGGCCCCCGTAACCTGGCGGCCTCCTCTGCCAACCCGCTGGACCGCTCTATCGCGGCCTCCTGCTGCCCCGACGTCGTGAGCCCCCCCCTAAAAAATTTCTGGGGGTCTCTCCTCCCCGTGGGCCAGGCCTCTATAGTTCTCGCCCAACTCTCGCTCTTCTGCCTCCAACTCCCGCTATTCAGCTCCTCAATTGGCTTGACCCAGTCGAAGCTCTTCCTCCATTGTTCCCAAGTCCACTCTCTCTGCTCTTCGCTCGGCTTGACCCAGTCGAGGCTGCCACGGAGATCTGCTAGGGATTTCCCTGGCGATGGCTCCTCGACTCGCCTTCGTACAGTAATAGAGACATGTGATTACATTTCCTGAGTACTTTCCTCTTGAAAAAGTTATAATAACCTGTGTAATGTGATGGCTAATGTGTTTAGAGTAACCTGTGTAGAATACTTAAAGCTGCAATATGTAAGTTTTTGGGCGACCTGACTAAATTCGGGATAGAAATATGTGTTATAAATCTGTCATTCTCATTGAAAGCAAGTCTAAGAAGTGGTAGATCTGTTCTATGGGCACTAAATCTATGCTTCCTGTTCTTAAGTAAAGGTTTTGTGTCTTTTACTTTCAGTTTTGTACACCAGCTACAAACAGCTGTAAAGCAATTTCACAGCAGTTTAGATGGTACGATGATTATCACATTGCTTGTTTTTTCACTAAACTGAAATTAGGCAAACTATTAGAATTTTAGATACCAGGAAATGGCAGAGCGATTTCTGTATATTGCAGTTGAGCCAAGGGGCATAATGTCTTTGATTTGCAACACTCTCTTAAAGGTCGAGGTAACTGTCAATGCATTAGTGTGAAGCTGTCTACAAGCTGTCTACAAGGTGATAATATAGTGTTTGTCATCGCCAAAAAGAGTTCCCCTCCTTAAAGACCTGTGCAGGGGGCATAGAGGTGCCTTACAACTTAACACCTTGGGTCTCCCTTCAGCTGTGATGTTACCTAATTAGCTTCCAGAGCTGAATATATCACATGCTACTCAATGACACTGTTAGGGGTCCTAATTCCCAGCTGTCGTGTGTGCGTGCATTAATATGTGATTTGAGGGGAAACATTTGTAGATTTTAATTTTAAAAAACACGTGTGTGAACCTACACTTCCCTACATATTTATTTGGACAATGAAGCAAAAACGTTTCGTTTGGCTCTATACTCCAGCATTTTGGATTTGAGATCAAACGTTTCATATGAGGCGACAGTACAGAATGTCACCTTTTATTTGACGGTATTTTCATACCTATCTGTTTTACCGTTTAGAAATTAAAGCACTTTATGTACATTATAAATGCAAAAGTATGTGGACACCCCTTCAAATGAGTGGATTCGGCTATTTCAGACACACTTGTTGGTGACAG